CACCCCCCCCTTGATTATGCTAATGTACGAATAAAAGGGAGGCACGGAGAGGCTTGAGGGTCTTTGCCTGCCATCTCACCTGAAGAAGCATGTTGCCCGTGTGTTTCCTGATCTAAAGCGAGGCCCGTTGGTTTAGGCCAACGTACATCACCACCGTCCTGCAGGGAGCGGGACCCCGGGATTTTGCGATCCCACATATAGTTTACAACATGTTTCTATAATTTAGTGGATTATTCATATATCTCAGTGTTATCAAGGTGACAGTAGTAATAATTGTGTAAAATAACTAGATTGCAAGTTTTTTTAATTGACTGAAAGTATATTAGTATGTTTAGCAGAAAGGAAATAAATGTAGTACTGCTGACAACATAAAAATATTTTTTATTTAGGTAGATGTTGATAGATAGATGTAGTTTATGTATTTAGATAGATGTAGTTTACATGTTAAACATCAGTCTAAGCTTATTGGCTTAAACCAATGTGTTTATTTTTAGGAAGTTACTTAAAATCAGATATTTGTTTTAGATGCATCTACTACAATGTATCCATTTTTCTTTGATTATACTTTAATATTTCTATAGATGCACAGTAGATGGTTGCAATAAAAAGTTTACAACAAAATCAAACTTGAACAAGCATGTTCTACGGAGACATCATCAGAGAAAATATGTAGTAAGTGCCTCTATTTCTTCGCTACTTCATTCCAAACACGAGGAAGTAGTTCTTGAAACTTGTGTAATTTAGTGAAGTCAACACAACTCTGGCATTCTTAATGTGTTAGACTTGTTGCCATAATCTTCAGCCAGATTAAGGACCAGGTTAATGGTATATTGAAGTCTCCAACATCTGTTGGAAGTCTCCAGCATCTGGAAAGCATAATGCTTTGATAAGTGTTGGCTATTTCGCATATACCAACCATGGTTGAAGTTGTACATACAAGCCTTAATCAATTGGTTTAGAAAGTTTTGTGAACTTAGTTGATCTTGCCTACTTAGGTTGTAGATCAGCAAGCCTATCCCACTCCTCTTGCTCTCCTTTGCAGTAATAGAAGATGGTGTACATCCTTGTAGATTTCAGTTTGTTAGATATGATAAGAGACAAGGGATTTTTTTTTCTTGCCATAGTGGGCAGGTTACATTCTGAAATAGGTTTGTTTGTGCAGATTAATTGCAGCCTTGGTGCATTCTCTAAACTACATTGGTTTAATTACTGATAATTTGGAGTCCTTTTTGCTAATTTGTACAATTATATAGTAAGCCTTTTGATAAATGATAAAATATATCATAATTTATGAGTTTATTGTGGGTTTTCTCTGACTGTAACCAAATTGATTTTCCAAACAGTGTGACTTTGAAAATTGTGGGCAATCTTTTAAAAAGCACCAGCAGTTAAAAATACATCAGTCTCAACACACTGGTGAACCATTTTTCAAGTAAGTGAAACATTTTGACACTTTGCCTATTTAGTTAAAATCTGAGAATGAATTTTATTAATAACTTTAAGGATACCTGCAAGTAGGAATTAGAAATTGTTACAATAAGGAAGATATTATTAAAGGTCTTCAGATAGGATTGGCATATCTTCAATTCATATAATATGTGACAGGAAATATTAAGCTCACTGCTCATTCTTCTCTCTGATCTGGTGAACATTATACTTTTAACATTTTAGTGTGAAAATTGGTACCTCATATAAAAACAGTACACATTCATATTCTGAAGTACTTTTTCTGAGAAAATACTTGTTCAATTACAAGTACCAATTTTTACACTTGTTATTTTCTATCCCCTCTTCTTCGATTGTTTAAATTGACCTGAGTTTTGTACTTTCCAAGCACAGTATCTGACTAAGCACCTCAGAAATTTCCAGTTTTCACTTTGGCTTGTGTTTATTATTGTTTAGTAGACAATGACTGTTAAATTTATTTAATGTAGTTATACATCAAAATACATAAAACTAAACATAATCTGTGAATTTAAGGGGATATATATGTAGCATTTCCTCAGTCATATTTTTGCCTTCCTGATCTGAACGCAGAGAATCTTCTCTGAATGTTTTTACTGAAAGGTGATATTACAGAATGAAGAACTGAAGGAAAAAAGTTTGCTTTCAGTCGCAAGAGAGTTTATACCTCACAGTTCATAAGCAGTGATCTCTATTTCCATTTTGAGCGACTGTGTTTGTTGTCCCACAGATGTGGTCATGAAGAATGTGGAAAGCGCTTTTCTTCACCCAGCCATTTAAAACGTCACGAGAAGATTCACCAAGGTAATTATTCCTTTGTTTCAGTAATGCTAAAAGAGTAAGAATTGGGATAACGTAGTGGTTTTAACCATGATTAGTTGAATAAGCTACACTAAAGGAATTCACACAAGAGCCGGAAACAAACAACATATTATATAAATTAGACAGTTGAGGTGCAATGCAAATAAAAAGTGTAGATCGAATGAGAGAAATCTGAATAGTTTTTTAAAAATAGTAAATAAGCATAGAAAGTGCAGATGTTGGCTATAAAATCCTAAGTTGAGGCCATATGATGTCTCACTTAATAGCCTGCAGTGATTTGCTTAACAGTGGAATGGGAAATGATGTATGAGTCTGTCACAATCATGTAATGTTTTACTTACTAACCTTGCTGGTACCAATTGTAATCACTAAGGAATGTCTATATCAGTAAAGGAATTGCAGAGATATGGTACAATGTTTTTAAATCCTCTTTTTGAAAGCCTCTTTTATATATTTAGAGCGGCTCTCTTATTGGGAAGTTTGTCTTAAAAGTAACTTGTTTTAGAAAGTTCATCCACTTGATTAATGATAGTTGCCGAGTCTGTGTTGCCTTGTTTAATGCTCATTTATACCCCATATATTCATTGTTTTTAACCCTAGCTCACTGTAAGCAGCTATGCTTGCACTTGCTATACTAAGGTTCTGCAAGTGAGTCAGTTTTTTTACTCCCTTTTGCACAGCTGGAGAGTAAGAGCTTGCTGTCCTAACTCTCAGTTTCTTTTATTATGGCTGTGCAAATGAAATTTGAGGATTTGCAGTTCAGTGACATCTAAACAATTATATTTCTTCTGCCCTCCTCCTTTATAAGCAGAAGGCACTATGCAAAATAAGGAGCAAGGCCCTAGACCAGGGGTGTCAAACTCGCAATGTCACATGACGTGTCGCGACATATCGTGACTTTTTCCCCATTACCGGAGCTGGGGTGGGCACGGTTTCGGCATGATGCATCAGTATAACACCTCTGCCCTAGACTGTGAGTTCAAGTCTTGCCTTAGTCCTGAAAGCCAGCTGTGTCACCTTGGGCCAATCACTCTCTCAGCCCAAACCAGCTCCTAGGGTGGTGGTTGTGGGGAAAATAGGAGGAAGGTTTGTTTAATATGTTCACTGCCTTGAATTATTTGTAAAAATAATAAAGGTGTAAAATATGCATTTATTTTTTTGAAGTCAGTTAACATCAGTTTTTGTTATAGGTTATGCATGCAAAAAAGAGAGTTGTTTGTTTGTTGGAAAAACCTGGTCAGAATACCTGAAACATATGAGACTCAGTCATGTGGGTAAGTTTTAAAGTTGCTGTAGAGTTACTTTCCTAATTGAGGCAGCATACATTGATTGATAAACGTATCTTAAAGTTATCCTGTTATTTAAAAAGAAGCTAATTCATGTTAGAGCTCCATTGAATATTTCTACTGTTACAAGTAGAGCTGGACTTACAACCAACATTTTTGTTGCTAAGTAAGACAGTTAAGTGAGTTTTGCCCCATGTTACAATCTTTCTTGCCACAATTGTGAAATGAATCAGTTGCAGATGCTAAATTAGTAACATGGTTAAGTGAAACTGGCTTGCCCATTGACTTTGCTTGTCAGAAGGTCGCAAAAGGTGATCACATGACCCTGGGTCACTGCAACTATGATAAATACATGCCAGTTGCCAAGCATCCAAATTTTGATCACATGACCATGGAGATTCTACAATGGTTGTGTGAAAAACTGTCATAAGTCACTTTTTTTCAGTGCCGTTGTAATTTTGAACTGTCACTAAATGGTTGCAAGTCGACGACTACCTGTGCTCTATTTCCATCTTTATGAATAAAATAAAGTTTTTCCATAAATATATCAATTGTTGATTCACAGCTTCTCACACATAATACGTGTGATGAATATGTAGATACTTACAATAGAAGTGCAAGTATAAGACATGCTCATAGGACCACACAGAAGGTTCAGTGGGTCCACTGTCCTGTTTTCCAGCTGTGACTAGCTAGATAAGTTTGAAAAGTCCACAAGAAGCATGTGATGTAATGAGACTCATCTGTTTCTATGGACTGGTATTCAGAAATGTGTCTGATCCTCAAGTAACATATAAACATAGCAGCTATACTCCTATTCAGATGCTCTATAAATGGTTTGATTTGTTCTTAAATTTGAAGTGTTGCCTATCATATATATATGTGTGTATATACACACACACACACACACACACACACACACACACACACACACACACACACACACACATATATATATATATATATATATATATATATATATATATATATATATATATATCATTTGTTCTTTAGAATTTGGACAACTAATAAATTCAAATAAAATAACCACTTAAACCAGGCATGCCCAACTTTTTGGCTTGCCACTTGGACCGTACATAAGATATATAATATAGTTAATGTATATGAATACACATAATATTAAAAGTTTATAGTCTTGTGGGGCTGCATTACTGGCTGTCCAAGATCACATGTGGCTGTTGGCTGCTGGTTGGAAACTCCTGATTTAAATCAAATTCTCTTCTCCTAAAATTGTATCGCAGCTATGCAATCCAGGAGAAAAAAAAAGTTGCTTAAAGAAATTATGAGAGCATTTCTCAACCTCAAAGTATCTTTCCTTTCTGAACCTGAATGCTGCACAACTATTATTTAATATAGTGGTCAAAGTAATGCACTGATAGTAATATTGTTCTTTGCGAAGAAATTTAAAGAATTATGCTTAGGACTCTGCTTCTGCCTCTTGTTTTTCCTTTTCCACTAGAACCAGTTACCTGTCAAGTGTGTTCCAAAACATTGACTCGCAAAGATTATCTGAAATGTCACATGAAAACACATGCCGTTGATAGAGAAGTTTTTAAATGTCCAAAGGAGGGCTGTAAAAGAACATACACAACCGTGTTCAACCTTCAAAGTCATATTCACTCATTTCATGAGGCAAAAAAACCTTTCGTGTGTGACCACCCTGGCTGCGGGAAGATTTTTGCAATGAAAGTAGGCATTTTAAACACTATTATTTGATAAATATTGTTCATCTTCTATTTCAGGTCATAAAAATATTTTTATTCTTTACAGCAAAGCCTCATAAGGCACATGGTACTACACGATCCTAATAAGAAAAGGTTGGACAAAAAAGTAAGTCACATTCTTGAATTTTCTCCTAGTAGGAGCTTACAAAAATGGAACAAATATATAATTTTGAACATGAAACACACTGCATTCCAGAAGTTCTCCTGAACTTCTCTGAATAAGTCATGGTTTGGTCAAAACAAAATCCAGAACATTTTTGTACTTCTGGGCTCAGCTAAACAAAATACAGATTTTCTTGTTCTTAAGTCAGAACAAAGCTTACAGAGATCCTGAAATGATTGTATGGCAAGTGGGGCCAGGCTTCAGCCCATTGTGCCCTCCCTCCCCTTTTCTCAATATGATATGTCCCAATAGCCCAAATACTTCCATGATCTTCCTAGCTCCTCCTTTATTTCCTTCACCAATGTCTTTGGCTGTTTCTGATCATTATTTCTCCAAAATATTTTTGCATGTAACAGCTGTGTTTCAGTCCATATCTGGAATAATTCAACTTTGGTCCAGATCTGGACCCAATGTACTAGTTCTGATTGGACCAATCTATCTGAAATTATCTGCTCTGATACAAATCTTTTGCAACTGTATAATAACTATTAAGATTCTCTTGGGGAAGGGTTATACAGGCAATTCTTATTCATGACTAGCTGTACCCGGCCACGCGTTGCTGTGGCTCAGTCTGGTTAAATGGAAAAGAAAGAAAGGTGTGACATCTATATAATAGTAGGTATATAAAAACACGCGCGTATTCGAATGCAACGTTGTATCAAAATTTCAAAGCAATCGGTGAAGAACTTTCGGAGATTTAAGATTTTGAACAAACGAACATTTACATTTTTATTTATATAGATACTCATGTTCTCTAAAATTGCCCTGACTACTGAATTAGTGAATGCTCAGACCTCAGCTGGGACGTGTGTGTTGGGTGACTCCAATGTTTTGCCCCTCTGCATCTCTGAAAATAAATGGAAGAGCACCGTGTATTGGTTTTGAGTTACAAAAGCATTTTTCCAAACAAGTGAATTCACATACGCAGAATCTGCAAATAAAGAGAATTTTCCTGTACAAACGTCAGTAGAGTTTATGCAAAGTGGTTCAGTTTAATCACGATGATTCAAGTCATCAAGAAAAAAAGACTGGTCTCATTTAAGCTTTCATGGAGATTTTCTTAAAGCTTATGCAGTCTTGACCTTTCAATTGTTGATGATAATTAGAAAATTATTTGCTATTGACAAGGGGGTTTGTGTAGGGGGGGAGATTAAAGGGCAAAATGGGAATTTTTAGCATTGCAGAGGCTTAAAGTATTTGACCCGTTTTCTAGTGGGGAAAATAGGGCTGAGTTTGGAAGGTTTTCAGAGTTTTTAGGAATAGATACCGTAATCCTCTAAGACTTAAGAGTCCCACTTTGTTTTCACCTACTCCCAAAAAACCTCTGAAACCCCTCCCCATACAGTCTGGAAGCAGTAAATAGTGTCTGGGATGGCTGGGACTGGGGGGGGGGGCTAACTTGACATATTTATAGCACTTGAGCAGTTTATAGAATCAATATATTGTCCCCAACAATCTGGGTCCTCATTTTACCGACCTCAGAAGCACGGAAGGCTGTGTCTGTCTTTAAAATACTTATAGGCATCAGCCTTCCCAGACCTTCAGAATAGTGCCACTCTTAGTCTGTTATCTGCTATCAATATAGCCACATTGGGATTTTTTGCCATTATTCCAGGATATCCTGAAGGCATTAAATGTAGGGTCTTTTGTACCCCAGCCTCTCAATCTCTACCTGTTAAGTAGAGAAAGATAGACTCTTTCTGCTCAGCTTTGGTGCTTTTCCTGGGTTGCTTCTTCTTCTAGTTAGCCTTTCCTTCTCCCTCCTTCCAAATTTCCCTCCCTCCTTCCAAATTGATTTAAGGTTCCCTTAATTCTGCTGTGATATTCCAAAACCAAGTTGGCCAAACAGCAAGTCACAGTCAATTTTATTGTTAACTGTTCTCTGTTTTTAATGACAAAAAAGGGATATTCCATTACAGTTCTTTCTTTTGGATCTTGCTTCCTCAGAAACCACAGCAAAAGCGGAGCCTGGCCTCTCACCTCAGTGGATATATCCCTCCAAAAGTACAGCGAAGAAATTTATCTTCAGTGGAAGAATCTCTACCTGCATCTGTAGCAAGCTGCAAACAGCAGGCTGCTGATGGCTGAAATGCTATTCGTTGACAACAGTTTTAGATGTGCCTAACAGTCATCATGAGACATGCTCACAAGAAGTGGCTTTGAGAAGGTGGTCATTGCCAAGTTTATAGAATTGGTACAGAAGGCCAATCTGTATTGGTACAGAAACGACAAAATGACTTGTATTCTTTTTCCATTCCATTTTTAGGAGAAAAAATGATCACTGCTTGGTTACATCTGAGTCCATAACGTTGCTTCCATTCTTCTGAATGTCTTCATTCTTCTGAATGTTTTCCGCAAGATTTAATTTCTGGATCTCTTTCTTTGATAAATGTCTCAATATACAAGTACTCCTTCCTTCTGCAGCAATAGAGGGCATGGAGTGATACGTGGCTTTCTCACGCATTGTATCCAAAATCTTATCAAAAAATGTTAACTGAAAATAAGACGAATTGGCTTAATGAACAGTTTGAATATTTTTTGCATCAATTAAGGG